GATCCATGATCTCGATGTCATACTGTTGTTGGAGTTGTGGAGTAATGCTTATAGTTAACCCATATAGTTATAGCATAATTCAGTATATAAGAAACTATATGTAACAGACAAAATAAATGATAGTACTAATTCTGAGGTTCTCACTCCCTTCGATTTATTAACTATAAGATAACTACGTTGCGCCAACGAACACAAATCTGTAACTGGTATCAAAATAATCGTTAAACTTGCAGTTTTGGTAATTATCTGGCAAAGTCAGTCCAGAAAGGCGATAGAAAATCTGACTACACAAAAATTTAATCTATAAAAAATATATATATAATTTATTCCTTTCTATCATAAGAGAACTAGAGGAAACTATTCAAACTTTTTTTTTTTGTTCAAAATTGATATTGGGAGCAAAATTGATAATGCATTTTGTTTTATCTTTATTCAGATGTAGGCTGATTAGTTCTGCTTCTCCTATCATACTTTTTCCGAATCTATGCATGTCCTCTAGATGGTAACATAGGTAAATTATCTTTTCCTCAATTAAGGAAGTAAATAAAGACTAGAAAGACGTACTGCTAGATGGTACCATCTTCATGCCTAAGATACCAATTGCTACAATCACAATAACAACGCATCTGCTTATTGCATGATTCAAAACAAGCCCGAATTAAGATCCGAAGATAGAAAAAAACTAAGTATTTTTTAATTTTTTATCGGCTAAACCAGAATGCGCATTTAATGTAATTGTTTTGGTTAGTAAAAGGGATAATAAGGGGACAGTTGAATGAGAAGGTGTGTAAAGCTTTATGGAATTGTTTATAGGAGTAGAAGAGTCAGTGGAGGAACAAGGGATAAAAAAATCAAGGATATTATGATGCTTTTTGGTTTTTAGGATCGCTAAAGGTATACGCTAAGGGAATATAAGCAAAATATAGTAAAGCCTATTTGACTCGGAAGTTGGAGCTCCGAAAATAAATCTTATGAAACAGTCACTTCAGTCATTTTTCAGTGAACGTTTATCAACACACGACACAGAGATATTCGTAAATTACTTAATATTTATATTGCCAAAATAAAAAACATATTTCCTGGTAGGAAAACTGAATATCGAATAATATTATATAAATATAGAAGAAATTCCCTACATAGAAAAAAAAATTGAAATGTTCTAAAAACTAATCTTCATCTCTAATATCCTCGTCACCTGATTAACACCCCTCTTGCATAATGCGTAATGCGTAATTGCATGTCATGCAATTATTGTAAAAAACTGCAGTACGCTTAATAACCAGTTCAAACCAGCGCTTACTAACTTCATCTTTAAAGTCCACGAGGCCCTCAATATCTTTATTTTTCTTTACAGCAATTCAGAATAAGTTATTGTCGGTCAAGTCAGTGATATCGCTTCTCCATTGGTTGTCTTGGGTTCCCAAAACTTGAAGTTGGCAGTATGGGGTTGACAGCAGTCGATCTCTCCATGCTCACATCTCATCATAATTTACTATTAATTTTGAATCCTCAACTAATCACCTTTTCGGAGAGGTTTTGGCTCCCCCCAACATTTTTTTTTTTTTTTTTTTTTTTTTGGGTCCTTCCCTTCCTCGCCGTTAAGGCTAGCTATACGGGATTTTCCCGGGCCAGGGGATATGAGCGGGGTTTTAAAAGACTCCCTCGGCACCAGGACGCGAACTCGTGACTATTTTTATATCTTTGATTCATATTGCCAGGTTGCCGGGCAACGGCGGTGCAGTGCACACGCTTTAGCCCATTCGGCCACCCCGCCCACAAGGCTCCCCGCAACATATCGGATAAAGAGCAGAATCACAAATCTATATTACACTGTCCATAGGCGCCGACTACTAGGGGCTCGCGGGGCCTGAGCTCCCCTCTCCCCCCCCCAAAAAAAAACAAAAAAACAAAATAGTTAAATCGATGACGCATTGATTGTGACCTTCTCTTATAATTATTATAAATATGATTATTTTCTTAGAAATATGTTACTTCAAACTAATGTGAATATGCCGATACGGATAAAATGGATGATCGGGAGGATGGACGATTAAGCGGGAAAGTTTACCGAAGACGGCGTTTAGCGTTGAGCGAAACCAATTTATTTGGCTCTATCATTCATCTTCATCGGCGGGATCCGAGTTGGATCAAGATAGTCTTGGGCACGCCCTGGCTCGTGGTATCGTAATGGCAACTGTTCCTCCACCAAATTTAGGGGTCCTTGTCTTTAAATCCAGGATTCCAGGCAGCTGTGGTTTCCATAACCAAACACTATTTAGTAGGAATTTTAAATCACACTTTTTTTTTTTTTTTAATACGATCAAAATATATTGATGCGCTGATTGCTAGTAAGAATTATCAACAATTATAGGGGAGAAGCTGTTACTCTATTACATGAAGTGAGTTAAATGTTGATAACTTCACATATGATTAATACTTTGCGGTCAAACAATATGTTCAGTATTTCATCTTTTTTGTAATGAGCTTTTATTAATATCTTTTTATTTTAGTATTATATTTTTATATTATTGAAATCAAATTTTCCAACATGTTATGTTTCGCTAATATTAGTTTTTTTTTTGTTATCATCAGTTTTGAGTTTTTAAAATCTTGTTTTCTTTGAAAGATTGTGCCGTTTTTCATACACAGTATTTGTTAGGGAATCATGTGAATTTTATTTGAAAGAAGATGCCATTTTGTTCTCTATTTCATTTTTATCTTTCATGTTCTTTAAAAATTATTATTATATGTAAGTATTTACATTTTTTTAAAATATTATTTAATGATGTTTGACAGTCTATCAGCGAAAATTTGTCTTCCTAAATAAGACAAATTACAGATTGTGAAATAACAAAAATTTTGTTAATTTACTGGTACTTCAATCGAAAATCTTCCTCAAACTCATGATCGATACACGTATTATATAAAAATTATATAATTTTTCACATTACCCTGCGCTATAATTATACACCTACCCTTCTCCTATAATCTCTTTACCCACGCAAAGAGGCTAACTTGTGAACCAGTTTCCTTAACAATTTCACGACAATCCTTAATATGAAGAGATAAGTTTTCAAGATAACGATTTTTGCATATTGATAGATTTTTAAATTTATACATATTGATAGTGTTAAAGCAACATATATTGATGATAAGGAATAACTCATGAAGATCGATTTGAGATTGATCTTCTGGTGGTTCACCTCTTTATTGTTTTATTTTAATTTTATATATAGTGAATATTAGATAATTCATAAATTCAGGTCATGCAATTTTTTATAGTTGTCGAATACCTAAAATAGAGTCATCAAAAGTTATTTGTTCTTGGTGTTGATATTTATTGACATATAGTTTTTATATCAATTTTCACTGATGGCGATGGAAAAATGCATTTTCGAAAGATAAAATTTAATACAATGTTCAGTTAGTAGAAGTATGAAATAACTTTTGAGCGAGAATTTTTTGCGTCAATAGCATCATTTAAATATAATTAAATCATTACAACCATACGGGAAACTAATTTACTTTAAATAAGCTCATTGTGAACGCAAAAGCTAATTTCGTAATAATTATTGAAGGAGTAGCTCAGTAGACAAGGCACTTTGCTGCTATGCTTCTAGGTTCCAGGTTCGCACCCTACTCACGGTGGGGCCGACAGCCAATCTAGGAGGACAAAGTTCATTAGGAATAATTTTCGAATGAAAATCATATATTCGTCACAAATAAAAGTTTTTACGGTCTTGAATAAGTCAATATAAATTTAACAACAGATGGTATGGCTGAAGGGTTAGTTGTCTGACTCTCACCCTAGAGACCTGAGTTCGAATCCTTATTAATAGAATTCATTTTTAGGGGGGGCGGGGCGGGGTGGCCGAATGGACTGACCTATGTGCACAGCTACCGTATGTTGCCTGGAAACTTGATAACAAAAGTTGTAGACAATAAAATTAAGAGTTCGCTTCTCAGTGCCTTGGGGGTCTTATAAATCCCCCCTGGCCCGGGAAAACACCCGATAGGGGAGAAAAAAAAAAGAAAAAGAAAAAAAAGTCAATATAAATTTCATTTATGATGAAAATTTAAATTAAAAATCACAATTCCTAAGAATTAAAATAAAAATTAACTATAATATTAATAAAATAAAACCAGAACGAAAGGATTTAAATTAATCTACTAGCTATTTATAAAAAGGATTTTATATTACATTTCTCATATTTTGAAAGTTGTTTTTGTCATTCTAAATTGGCGATTGGTCCCACAGTGCGGTAGTAGAAGCCGATTACATATTCTGTTACACCAGGCTTGGATTACTCTAGGGTCCGAGAGACCCTCCTGGGGCACATTCATTTTATAAAAAGTGGGTACTCTTAATAAATGGCCTATTAGAGGTTGAAAACCCTCTCCTCTATAGTTAGAAATAAATAAATAAATTAACTAATGGAATAAATTAACTAAAATTCGGCGGTAGATCTCGACCCAATCATCTCTCTGCATAACCATTGGCCGGAAAATAGTACTTCCCTACAATGTTCTGAACACACGACCAGTGTTTGAGGTTATTCTTTTATTTCGAAACATGATACCGTTGAACACAATATACGACGATATTTGACAGATAATTGCAGGTTTTCAATTGTATCAATGAATGAATAAAAGTCGACCAATGAATAAACGCCCCCCTGGAATAATGTAATTGTAAAATTCCACTAACATTTTTCTAATTTATGATATGAGTCATGAAATGTAGGATTGCAAAGTCATTATTGCACGATGACAGTTTCCAAAAAAAAAAAAAAAAAAAACCTTCTTACTTTGGTGCTTATCCAAGCTACATTATTTTAGGACTTTTTATCATGAAGTTCTCTTAGACTTTTTTTATCTAGATTTTAAGAAGTCAATTTCCTGCTCGTTTTTTAGCTACTGGATTATATCTTATCATATATTTCTTTAGATTTCCAACTACATCTCAGATTTTCTGCTAGGTTTATGACACTGAGTTTTAATTATTGTGAATCGATTAATTCTTGATCTAAAGGAGAAAAAGAAGATAGCAGTTCGGAATCATTAGGTCTAGTTGACACCTTAGAGTGCCTTCCACCAATTTCAGTCTCCTTATTCACACGTTTATCGCAAATCCTTCTTTTATAGCAGAAGAGATTTGTCTCATTAAGGAGAAAATCCTTGGAAGGCGCTGGCTGGAGTGACGATATCTCTTCCATCGCAGAACCCCGTTGACACGGGATTGAATCCATCGGTTGACGCGAAACCTGTTCCTCCAGGCTGCTGAGGCCAATTATCTTATCCAGATTGTGAAGAAATATACAGGAACCACTTTCCACTTCCTACTTATTCATGACGTTGAGGCAGATTCTGGTCGATATATTTAGCGAGGAGAAAAAAAAAAAAAAAAGATGACGGCCCATGTCCAGAATATCTAAAAGAGAAATTCAATTCTTTTCAAGACGACCTGATTATTTTGATCTCATTGACACCTGGTGAAATGACATTTGCGTTCGCTGACCGACAATTATCCTTTTCGAATGAAATACGTGAAATTTTGAAAGGTAGACTCTTTTTTTTCATTCTGAGAAATTAACTTCTTCTGATAGCCATTAATAACAGAAGGGTGCTGTCGTATCAGAGATTTGTAAATCCCTTAAAATTAGTCTGTGATCGGTTAAAATGACAACGGTTATTTTAAAAAATAAATCAACCTGTATTTCCGATTTTTTTTCTTGCAATAAACGTTGCACCGTTTACTCAATGCAAAAAATTTACCAGTGACCTGGATTGTTTTCAATAATGTAAAAATTTTAACCCATCATAATTTATATCTATTAATATTAAATATGTTTAATAGACCTTTATAGTCGTAGACGTATGTATATTAATTTAAAAAGTTTTAATTCATCATTATTGTCATTATGTCATAATAGTTATAATTGATTATACCTAGGAAGATGAATGATGGTTTATAGTAGAAAGATATGCTTTTGGGAAATCATTTATGGAAAATGTAGCCATATTTTTAGTAAACTGTCTCAGCATTAAAAATACTTATTGTTTTATTAATATTCTTTCTCCAGTTTATAAAAACGTGGTTTTAGAACACCGGGTTCTACTGTTGTTTTCAACATTGTGTGTGAGATAATTCCATTTTTTTTGTCTTGCCTGTGACATTAATATTTATTTAATTTTTTTTTAAATTATTCTCAAATGATATTTAAATTTTTATTGAATTGATTTTTTACAAAAAGTATGAGGACCTCAGCCTTACCTAAAATCAGATGTCACTCACAAACAGACGGAGGGAATGAATTATTCAAAGCGTGTTCCGAAACAGTAACGGATTGCCTTGTGCCCAACACTAACTAGATCTTCATTATCAGAACCATTGTATCTAGATACTTCCTGCACCCGCCTCCATCTTACCCTAACAGCATATTTACATCTGATCTCTTTTAAGGAGAAACTTAAGAAGATTTATACATGTTATGAGACAGCGAATTGGTTGTCTTTGTTCCTCTGTACTGACCTACAATTTACTTATATCTTAAAAAACAGAGTTTATTTAAACATAAAATATACTAAAAGTTTAACACTACTAGCATTAAAATCTTTAATATGACAAAAAAACTTGAAACACAAAAAATAACAAACGAAAACAACTTCACAATTCAGACTTCACCACCATTTAATGGCTTCCATTTTGCTGCAAACTATTCCTGTTGAGTTAATCTTATTCATTTGGTGAAGTGTGCACACAGTATATGCTTTAGACGTGACAGAATTTTTTTCCTTAAAATCGGATAACCGGAAGTGCAACTATGATATCAACTATGAAAAACATTTTTACAATTTACACAAAAACGGCTCTAACCATATTTATTAAACTCGGTGTATCATTGTATAATTAAGTGGTCTTTAATATCATTTAGGTCTTATCCCCATTCATGTTACTTTACAGGGCTTAAATGCCCGATGTTCATATGGGTCTTCCTTTAAAGTACCTTTAATGTGGTTTATTTAAAAAAAAACTCTCTTTTATAGACAGTAATTATAAAAAATGGCTTAATATGAAATTTAAAAGGATATGATAATTGGGAACTGGAGAAAAAAAATGCGCATTGAGGTCGAAAATGAATCTACGGAAAAAACAGTCAGAAGGTATACATATAATATATCGTTGGAAAGCGTAGAATTTTAGAAAACAATAATATCAAATAAATAAAGTTGTGGAAGGTAACGGAGAGTGATGAAAAAAACATAAATAATAATCATAGAAAACTAATATTATTTTTCATAAATTAGATATTTCCAAGGAAATTAAATGAAATTTTCTTAGTAAATGTAAACTTTAATTTTGTTTTTAAGTTAGAAACTTAAAATCCATTTAAAACTTAAAATTTTTAAGTTAGTATTTAAAATCCACCAAATCAAGGCAATGACATTGTTTAAAATACTATTTCATTGTACTTGTTTTAATGAAAAAGTGAAATATAAAAATACTTCTTTGATATGTTTATAACCTTAAATACATTTACTGTCATTTAATAGCTCTAGATATGATATTATCTTTAAATGATTAGGTATCTATTGGCCGTTCATTCCAAAATATCATCAAGTAATCTTTTAGAAATTTAAATTAATGAATAATTAGATGGATTTTCCTTTAGAAAAATCCCAATATTATCCTCTTACAATTAGTGTGACTACTTTTGATCTATCCATGATAGACAATCAAAATTTCATAATTTCATTTTAGTAAACTTTACAATGGGAAATAACAGTTTAATAACTACTAGTGCTACAATCCATTATCATTTAAAGGTTAAATATTCGGATATACTTTCAAATCTCTCTAGGCGTAAATGAGCTTTTCGGTTGACCTGACTGACCCCAGTTTCAACATTGTTTATTATTAATTTCTAGTGGCATAATTTATACCTTTATTAACATTTCTATATTTCAACCCAGCAACCACCTACTCTGGAATCAACTGTCTGCATAGATATAACTTTTTCAAATTGAAATATTACTAAAATGACATTATTCGAAAATGTTGAAATTGGAGTTAGTCATTCTGTCAACTGAAAGGCTCATATTTCGAAGATGTGTGGCTTATAAAATCAGATGGAGTATCTAGATTTTATTTCCTACCGTGGTGATAATAAATATTAATAGTGAAGATAATAAATTTTAATGGTCTTAATAATGTGCCAGAAATTAATTTCTATCCAAAATAGAGCGGTTAGTGAACGTTGTGTTTTGTGCGCACCAGATTTTTCTTGTAAGTTTGAATATATATATTTCAATTTATTCTATTTATTAATTTATGAAATGGTATTTATTTATTAGTAAAAATAAAAATGCTTAGGATTATATCAAGTTCTCACTTTCCCAAACAAGCGATTACCACGGTGATGAGTGGACCTGCCATTATTCTCCTACACAACGTGGCGATTGTTTACGAAAGTTGGCTATGTAAATAAGAACAATTGTTGATAACGATCTGGGCCGAATGACAGTCACTAGAGAAAGTATGTAACCGAGTTTCGTAAAGGACACAATGGATGTTATGAGAGGGGAGAAGAATGGACGGTGTAGGTGTGAGAAGAGAGGCTAGAAAATGACACAGCAGGAAATTATCGAATCCCCTTTCATCCTCACTAATAGACTCCTAATTAAAGTGAAGCTGACTGCATCAAAATGAGCCCTCTACTGTCTACTGTCTACTCTACATTTCAAAGACCAGCTCTTACATGTTCCCTTCAGGCGTCCAAACGTGCGGCAACTTCTTAGGTCTATCTTTACAGATGGTGGACATGATTTTTTTTTCACCATCTTGATATCAAAATAGAGATACAGATGGTTAAAAGATCTATTTTATCTTGTTCTAGATCGGTCCGATATTATAAAGATAGCAGTATATCTTCTGTAACAAGAAAGCTTTCCAATGGTTATGGACCGAGTCCGGATTTTTAGGTAGCGAAAAAATTAAAAAATATGCCATAAAATATATATATATAAAAATAACAACCGTCAAATACGTGGTAAATTATGCAGTACTGAAATATAAAAAAATGCAGCAAAAATATCAAAATATGAAATAATACAATTAGAATATTCATTTACACTAATGCGCCTACAAAACGTTTTGGACTAATGATGAAACTGTAGGAAGAATTAAAAAAAGGTATATATATTTTTAAACCAAATTATCGAAAACATAATGTGAAAAATAAAAAATAAAAATATATATATTCATCAATGGTTAAAAACGTAATATGAAGTAGTTTTTAAGAACCAACATATGAAAGTAATACAGACTTCAAATTAGTAAAAAATGAACAGATATAGGTTGTTGTATATAAAAATTATAACTGAAAATATTTTAAAATGTTTATTTAAAATAAAGAAATGACTGTAAAAATAGATAAATACACCATAGCAAATAATTAAAAATATAATTATTAAGAAATGAAAATATTATAAATTTACAATTTAGTAATAAAATAAATTAGCAATACTTCTAACTAAACAATTAATTTACAGATATATATTTTTTTTGTTGAATATTGTTTTTTATTTATCAAGACGCTAAATACTCAGAATTTATATTACAGTTCGAGAATTGTTATACTCAGCTTGCTGACGTGTCTGACTATGCATTTTAGTTTGTTATTTCTTTTGATTATGTTGTTTTGTTTGAAATAAAAAATATATAGTACAAACAAGATAGATAGATAGATAGAAATTTTTTTTTGTTTTTGTTTTTTTGAGGAGGGTTCCCATACAAATAGAGCCTAGCATGGCTATTGTAGAATAATATGGTTTTACAAGTTATATACATATCATTTAAAAATAGATAAAATTTACAATATTTTCGTTTGGAATGGGTTGTACGGATAGATTGAAGGTTAATATTTATATATATAAAAACAAAATATTACTTTAAGATAAACTAAAAAAAAAAAAAAACACTTAATAGAGCATGGGCTATGATCAACAATGTTGTGTATGCACTTTGTGTATTCCCATCATAAATAGTAAACTTTATTTAAGTTATCTATACAATCGATATTCAGTATGGATTCGACGTTGTGGTTATCAGAAGATTCTGAGATGAAGTTTTGAAAGAATTTTTGCCTACAGTCATTGTATTCTGGAAAGTGAAGGAGAATCTGATGTAGACTGTTGTAGATAAATTGACTGCATGATATAAGTTTCTTGAGACTCGATCGAGAAAGTT